CCCAAAAGGTAGTAGATCATACCCTACGAAAGGCTGACATCCACTGTTGCACGTCTTTCCTTTGGGGCAAGATTGTATGAGGCCCCCTGACTTCAAAAAAAAAAGAAAAATGCAGACCCTTGGCGCAGGAGGATGTCAAACATGTCCTCTGCTATGAACCACCAGCAAAGATTCAATACAATTAAGAAACTAATCAAATGAATATATGAAGTTAATGCTTGTTGTAACACTGGATAATTCTTGAAAACTGCGCATGCTGGAGCACGAACCAACGGACAATCATGCCCATGTTGCAGGATAAAGTCAGTCACACGGTCAAGAGCCTCACCATTGCATTACTGGAAAAAGCAAAAAGAAAGCAGCGCCAGGTGGCCCTGGCTCCTCTCTATTCTGGAGGGCCATAGTCTGTTTCCTATTCCACCAGCAAGTCACAGATAACATGTACAATACACTCAAATGCATCCTTTCAAAGGGAACCCTAGGTCATCATTGAGGATTAAGTGTCAGGTAAGCCTATTATACGTCTGCACCCCTGGGTTGCCGGGCATGCTACTTCTGCTAGTCTTTCCGGATTTCCGCTAAGCCTCGGTGAACGGCAATTGTGATAAAGGTAAGGGGGGCAAGGGGTCAAGCCTTACCGGACTCGTATACATTCATGATTAGGGTGCGTTGTGTTGAGGGAAAGACAGCAGTGCAAGCTCACACAGGTACCTCAGGTATAATTGACATGAGTTAGGCCCTACCCAGTTCTGACCCAGCTGACCCCGTGGGCAGTGAAACCGCATCTCTTCGATGCAACTCAGGCATGCAACCACATAAGCTAGCCACCTGGAAGGGCCAAATTTTATCATGAAATGGGGGCATGGTGCAAATTAAAAATCCTTCAGTGGTTCCTATGGAGTCTGGACCCAATCAATCCACATCCATAATGAGGGGGATGATCTGTCCGGTTGTTCAAGTACAGAAGGATCGAGCTAAGGTGGTGGTCCAGTTGTTCCCCCGGACCGCCACCTGAGCTCGATCCTGTCCCCCTCCAGTGTGCCTAGCTTCCCACTCCCCAGTGCGTCTTTCACAAATTTGTGTCCGGATCCATCCTGATTGTTCTTCTTTTTTTTTCACTTTGCTTCTTATAATTCCGATTGCCCCATGCCCGTGGAATGAACAAAAAGAAAGGAGAGCAAAATATACTCCTTTTCTGGCATGTTCTTCTGACTGGAAAACCAAATTTCGTAATCACGGTCAGATAGACAATGGATTGAACCTCCGCATTCTACAACACAGAGCCAGCGATAAGAGAAATGCCTGAAAGAAACACGAATAAAAAGACAAATAAAATGAAATAACTTCAAATAACTTAAGTCCTTTTATGACTTGTTTTCCTTGCATGAACTTTTCACAGTGCCATTGACAACAGGTCGAACCTTGTGCAAGGAAAATGATTGATAGTGAACTTCAGAAATCACACAGCATCATACACATGAAACCAGATAGTCGTGACCTCGAACCAAAAGCAGAAAATAAGAGCACAGCAAAAGCTCATAAGTGACAATGCTGGAATAGTCTCATCATCATCAACAGAGAACCAATGTCGATATCCTATCTGGCGCTCGGCGCCCAGACTACAAATGGCAGATCCTATCTAGCCTATCTACAATGCCGCTGATGACGTCAACAGCTTCCCGAACTACGAGCTGATCTCAGCCAATGCCGTTCGCCTCAAGCACCAGGTATGTCCCTCGCATCACTCACAACCTCGATCCCCAACTCACAGATGCCACATGCACCCAAGGACCACCATGCGCCCCATCCAGCATACAGCAGCGCAGCTCGGCTATGGCTGCCCGCTCATCCAGCTCGGCCGTGAGCGCGTGAGCGCTGGCCAGCGTTAGCGAAGCGTCGCTTGCGCAGCATGCAGCCAGTGCCCGAATGCCGAATGCGTGGGCAGGCACATTCCTAAATGGAAGTGGCCTGCCTGTTCACGTGCAGCCTGGCTGCGCTGGGCCCCTGCCCAGAAGCTTCCAGTAGGCCCAGAGAGACTGACCCCCAGTCCAAACGAATCAGGCCCTGGGCCTGTGGTGGTTGCCCACGTCCAACTGCCCGCGGCCTGTGTTCGGTCCATGTTGCGAAAATGGCCCAGGGCCTGCCTCGGTTACATTCGAAAGAGGCAGCCTGGGCCTGGGCGCTCTCAACCAACTAACGCTGCGCAACTGCCTGAATTTACCCAGTTGCGTGGTGACCCCAAAAATAGGCCTGTAGGCCCTGGGTCGAGCCTGCCTTCACTTAGGGCGGCCAACTGCACAGAAAATAGGGCCCAGTTGAGGCCTTGAGCCTCGCACTTGCAATATCACACTGCAATGCCCACACTAAGACAAAAGAGTGAAAAACAATCGAAGGAAAGTAAAATTTTACTTTCCTTTTTCCCGTTCCTGACATTGGAGCAACAAACATCGCCACAATTGAAGGACAGCCTGTTCAATAGTGTGACGGAAAAAAGGGCATGAGCGAACATCACCCCCAATCGCAGAATCACTACTTGATTGTCCTGCATCAACACATCTGAACGAAGATCACTGTCGATGAAGGCAAGACAGTTTGATAATGATGCATCCACAGCTCCTGGAGATAAGGGAGGCGCCCCTCGTGTAGATGCAGTGACAAACACAGGGAAGGAAAGCCCCGAGATTGAGTCCCTGCCACCCACACGATGACGTAGGGGCTCACATCGGACGCCAGGAAAGACAGGTCGGAGCATAGCGAGCTGCCATCGGCCCATTTAGCTAAAGGATGTTGTGTTGATATACAATGAGCCCTCAGCTGCCAGGCCTTCGACTGGTCAGCAGCTTGGAGCAGACGAGTCTCAGACAGTTTGTGATGGTGACTCCGACAGAGGAACGTTACAGCTTCCATTGTTTTCTGAATTTAACGAGGGGGTAGCCCCTACCCTAATTGTGCTCATCTGACTTGATCGAGATTTGAATTTTGAACTCATAACCTCTTTACTGACAGTCACATGAGCATACCTTTCCGCCACATGGGTTCATTTTGGGGGAGCAAGAAAAGGCAAGCATAACATCATCATAAAGCAACATCGCTGCAAAAAAGTGAATGCAAACTCACCGCAAGAATGGAATTGACAGGTGGGGAGCTGAAGATGTTTCCGCATACAGCAGCAGTAAGCATTCCCTGGCCCACATAACCAGCATGGGCTGGTTCATGTCCACTCCCTCCACCTGTACAACAGCCAAACCATCCACTTTCTCCACTTACCCCCACCTACAAAAAAACATACAGCATGTAACTCCCCTCTCTCCCATGTTTCACCAGTTTAACATATCATGAAATGCTATACTACACATGCATGGCAAGCTCTCACATAAACATTACGTTCTCCTTCCATTTGATGAATACATACTACATAGACAAAGCAGCTCATCCCTTATCAATGACACATCAAATCCTCAACCTCGTGCCTACAATGGCAGTGGAGGAGTCAAGTTTCACTATTTGACATTTTAAATCTGTTTGTTTGTTGTTTAGTGGGAACGGGACAGGTGCTGCTGAGAATAGATTGGAGACAGGACCTTAAGGTCTTGTTTTTTTTTTTTGCAATCAAAAAAAGAAATCGTTTTTCTCCTTTCTTTTTCGTCACCAGATATCAATCTCTTCGGATTTCCACATCCATGGCAGTGAGCCCTAATTGTGTGGTGAAGGACACATGAGATCAACAGTCGCAAGTCGAGACACTGAAGTGGTCGGATCGAGTCACATCACAGGAAGGGAAAAAGAAAAAGGTTACAACGTACATGGCTCACACATTAAGTACCAAAAGGGATAGGGACGACAACTTCCACACAGTTCAGACAAAACCATGGGTAACCATGGGATTCAACTGAGTTAAGCTTTACATTTTCTTTCAACCTTGTACTAACCTAGGCTACCAGCTGAGCCGCCCGGGTCACCTTGTTTGCCCGGGCTGCCTGGCCGTGCAAGGACCATAGAAGGTCCCAGAAAAAAAAAAAAAAAAAAAAAAACAAACAAAAATAAAGGTATGCAGAAAAATAAACTGAACAACTTTTGCCTCAGGGTCACATCGAACTTCAAAACTGAATAAGAGCCTTTGCAATATTTTTGTCCATAAATTAAATTAAAAAAAAACAATTTTTTTTTTTTTTTTGGGCCTGGCCGGGCAAGTGGTCCCAGGCCACTCTGGTAGCCTAGTTACTAGCTGAATTGCTTCCGAGTTCCTGCAAAAAGGTAAAGGACACCCAAGAAAAAGCTACTTTTGGAAACGGCCAACTCGAACTGTATTATTGATTTCTTTTCTCTTGACTGCAACTTCTGTATTCATCATAGCATTGATTGCAGCTCTTTGAACAAATATTGTACTTGCCTGAAATTACGGCAACCTTCCTAAAACAGCCCTGTTGCACATCTCGGCGCAGAACCACCTTGACCTGCAAATGAACGTGCACAAAGAAACCAAACAGAAAGCTTCATTCTCTGTCGGATGCTTGGAACCCAGGCACTAATGCAACTGGAGGCTAGGACCAACACCATACGGGGAGGCGTTGACACGGCGGAAGGTGTAAAGGCAAGGGAAGATATGTGCAATGGGGAAACATGGGTGAACTGTGAGATGGGGGAACCATGCGGGGAGAACCATGCTAAGATCACTCTTTATTTGATCCTTCTTTTTTTTTTTTGAAACAGGTCCTTATGGTCCTGGTTCCATATCCATTCTGGGGAGCGTCAGTCCGGTTCCTTTCCACCGGCAAGTCAAAAATTGAGATACATGGTGAACACTCTCACGCTTCCTTCCGTCTGGCCGAAGGAACCCTGATCAGCATTGATTGCTCCCAATCCAGAGGATTGACTGTCAGCTTGCCATTCCACTTTTCCTCTCAGAATCTATTGTGACTCTGTCAGCTGATTTGTGTAACGCAAGAAAAGAGGAGAGTTGTCCATACTGTTGAGATGAGAATCTCAGTTTGCCCATCACTGGTGCACCGTCCTTATTGAAGGTGTGCTATGCCATTTCTTCCAAATCAATCTGTTATCTGTCACAGTTACAATCTTCCCCTGAAGAAGCCAGTTTCTCATGAAAATCGATCTCTTGATGGCTATCCTTTCTGGTCTGCCTTTCGTTGTTGATGTCACCTCCCTCCATCTGGATCGAATCTCAATTTCGGCCATTCCCAGCAACAGTACCCACATTTCTTCTCTTGCCACTTCCTTTCCTTAGATCGTCTTGGTACATCTCCTTTTCCAGATTACCCATAGAGCCAGCTTCCTGAGTAGGTGAAACCATACTTCCTTGCCGCCTTTGAGATTGTTAGTAATGTTGGAAAGGAGCAGGATGTTCAGGGGAGTTGTGGGCGGAGGGGGTGATGAGAAGAGGAGGGTCCATAGGCCGTGCACCTTGTTCCATATCCATGCTGCTTCCGCGCAGTACAGTAGGCAGTGGGGTATATCTTCCGGGATACTGTCTGTGCATAGCCTGCAAAGCTCAGAGTTGTCGGGGTCAGTCTGTTTCCTCCTATTGTGGAGCCATTGATTGACCGGAGCGATGCGTGCGCTAGGAGCCACTGCATGCTCCGAATCCTAACCGGTCTAATGGTCAGGTACTTCGTCCATGGGATGGAAATGGGATCTGTGGGATCCAGAATCAGGATCTCCCTCCACGTTCCTTTGAGTCTGGGGTCCGGGTCTGTGGTTTGCAGACCCAGCTCATAGCCGAATTTGACATCGTAATCAAATATCGTTCTCGTTTTCCCGGATTTGCCCTGCTTCCAAAGCCACTCTTTCGGGTCGAATTCAAGGTCTAAAATGCTGAGGTCCCGTTGGAAGACTTTCCAGGGTTTGGACTTTGAAACCCTCACTTTTCTCAGTCGGACGGTTTCAAGTGTGTCGCACTGGGGATCTTTGTTCTGGATTTCCAGCTCTTGTAGGTTGTGATTAGCTATGGGGTATGAGTAGAATTTAGATAGGTAGCATAGTGGGTTGGTTCGAGAGACGAATCAATATGCTCTAGTAGGCTGGGTTTGGGAGATGAGTATGCCCCAATCCCCGGCTTTCCATGAGACGTCCTCCCTTAGGAGGGAGAGCCATTGTCCTGGGACACTCTTCTGGATCAACGTTAGGTTTTCAGCGAGGGAGTGACAGCCTTTTAAGACATCTCGTAGCTCCTGTTCGGTAGCCCATCGTCCTTTGTCCTCTGCCCAGATGTGTTTCATCTGCCACACACCTGTTTCCACCCAGGATAGCCATCTTCGGTCTTTTGTGCGTAGTGCCCATGTCCCTCCGCTAGGGTCAATGATCCAAGGGTTGCAGAAGAGAGGTGGTCTCAGGACCTCTTCTCTGTTTGCTATGAACTGTGTTTACTTGGCATCATTCTATGCCAGGCTTTGATGGTAGGACTCCAGTATGAGGTGGCTGTTTGAGTGGGGGTTGTGCGAGGTCTGCATGATTTGATTACCCAGTCCTTCGCCATGAGCCAGTGGAGACCTCTCATGCTTGGGGGGGAGTTTATGGGCGCCAGGTTTCTGATGGTGTCTAGAGCCATCTGGGTCCAAGGGAGGGTTTGTCTGATCAGGATCTTAATAATCCATTTCATCTGCTGTGCTATGGACTCCTGTTTGGGGTCAATTAACCCAAGGCCCTCTTCCTGTGGTTTCCTCGTGATGTGGTTCCAGGCTACCCTGTTGATACACCTGGTCCTGTTGGGATCTCCTGTCCACGGGTAGCATCTCGCCCTCTTTTTTAACGTCTTGATGTCGTCATCGGGGGGAGACCAGATGGATGCCATGTACCACAGTGTGGAGAAGATTGTCGTGTTAATTAAAAGGGTTCGTCCAATTAGTGAGGCCTGACCATTTTTGCATAGGGCCAAGCGGGTGATTGCCCTGGCAATTAGGTTCTGGCCCATTCCTGACCATACTCCTTCCTTGTTGACCATGATGCCCAGAAAACGTAATGCTTGCTCTCCCGACGTCCATGAAATGGGTGTGGCAGTGTCGGCTGGTTGGGGAGGGCTACCATCTACTAGCCACCAGCCTTCAGTTTTGCCCCAGTTAACCTTCATTGCTTATGCCAGTCTGAAGGCTTCCATTGCTCTTACTAGGGCTTGGAAAGAAGAATTATTGGCGCGAATGAGGACAGTGAGGTCTTTGGCGAACATAAGTGCAGTGGGTAGGGCGAAGTCGTGTAACGGGTTGAAATTGCGTTCAATGATGCGGTCGATGGATGGATCTTTTCGAAGGAAGGAAGCTATGGCTTCCATAATGAAAATGAATATGGGCGGACCCAGTGGGTCGCCTTGTCTGACAGATCTAGATATCGGGTAGGTGTCCGATAGGATCCTGTTGACTTGGACCCTGCCTGTAGCGTCTGAGTAGAGAACTCTCACCCAATTTTTGAAGTTTGGGCCTACCCCCATTTTCTCCATACAAGCATGGAGAAAGTCCCAATTGACTTGGTCATAGGCCTTTTCGAAGTCGAAAAACAAGATTGCAGCCTTCATTCGTTTCTCCATGATCTTTTTTGCTGCCTCGTTCAGCGTCATCACGTTGTCCAATATATACCGGCCCGGGATGAAGCCTGCTTGGTCAATGTGGAAGCATTTGTTCGTTAGTTTTGTGATTTTGTTCGCAAGCGCCTTAGCGAGGATTTTGTAGGGTGTGGTGAGTAGTGAAATTGGTCTGTAGTTCTTTAGGTCTTCTTTGTCTCCCTTTTTGTAAAGCAATGAAACCACATTGGTGCTCGGATCATTGCCCAGGCCTCCTTTTTGCATGTTGTCGTTGAAAACGTCGAGCAGGTCTTCTCCTAGGGTCGGCGAGAAACAGCTCCAAAATTCTTTAGAGAGGCCATCGATGCCCGAGGCTTTGTCATTTCCCATCTGGGTCAAGGCTATGTGCAACTCGGCTAGGGTTAGGGTATTGTCCAGGCCTTTCGCTTGAGCTATCGATATCGTCTTGTCAAGGTAAGATAGCATGAGTTGGCGAGCTGCTAACTTCGTTGTGGTCAGGGGTGAGGGTTTCGATTCGTATAGATCTGCGTAGAATGCCCTGGCTATCCTGACCATTTTTAAACCTATTGTTTTTATGTTCCCTTGCTCTATTGCGTCTTTGAGGCCCTCTATCATGTTGTTCCTTGCGTTTGCTTTGCTTTTTTAGAAGAAGAATCTGGACATGGACTCGTTAAGTGTGTAGTCCGTCATCCTTGCTCGTACTTGTAGGCCTCTCAGCTCCCATCTTCTCCACTCGTTTAGTTCTTCTTTGGTATCAGCTAGTAATTCCTGGTAAAATTCGCTAGAGGGGTCCTCTGCCAGGTTAGATTATGCAACTGAGATAGCGAATTGGAGCTCCTCTCTTCTCCTCTTGCCGTCTCTAGCTATACCTCGTGCTTCTATTGATATTGCTTATGTTAGTTCTTCGTAGCTGTCGATGAACCATTGGTGTCTGTTTGTCTGTTTGAACTTGCGCTGTTTATTGAGGGACCAGTTTTCTTTGACTGCCACAGTCATCCTTCCGGTCGTTATGAGGGAGTTGTTCAATGTGAAGAATCCCTGACCTGTTTCAACGGGTGAGTTGAAGTTGAGCAACAACTGAATGGGTTTGTGATCCAGACCTTTGAAGGCTGCAGATGGGAGGATCTCGGCCTCTTTAACTGTGCCTGATAAACTCTCAGATATAAGGAAGTAGTCAATTCTGGACAGTGATGTCCGATTGGCTTGGTTCCTCAAATGGGAAAATACTTTTCTTTCCGGATGTTTTGCCCTGAGTGGGTCGACGAGTTCGAATTTTGTCATCAGGTTGCGAATCCGGGTACCTGCTCTTGTGGGGCCCATTTGTGTTGTCCTTGATATCTTTTCTCTCTTTATTTGTTCCGATTTTTTCGCTTATTCTGTTTTTCTTCTCTTTTTCTTATTCTTTTTCTTTTTCTTTTCCAATTTCTCATGACTTTCGAACACATGTCTGTACCGGAACTGAGGGAAGGAAACAGACTCGGAATTCAGGATTTTCCGCTTGGGGCTGGAATTGGCTCGGTGATTTGGGATCTGCTCAGTGATACTCAGTATTTTCAAGGTAACGGAAGAAGCATCTCCATTCCATTTGGCTTTTGGTAGGAATAGGGGCTGAGGTATGCCCGGTTACTGTTTCTCAGTAGAATACGGCAAGGGTGTTTTCAAAACAAAGGGCTATTGTCAGGAAGGGTTTTTTTGTGGGGTTGCCCAAACACGGGGCTGAATGGTTGACATTGAAGAAGTGAGCTAGTCGATGGTAGTAAGTTTCTACGACTCCTATTTCGTCAAGTCTTGCAGCACGATGTAGACCAAGCGACACAAGACCCCTGAAGAAGCCGGTACGACAACTGGGCGAAACATGTAGGGTCACGTGCCAATTAGCTTGTTTGAGCACATAGCCATTTTCTCACGTTATTTGGTTAATGGCTACGC